ATGCTCTTGACTCCTTTCATGATGACAATTTTGCCTAGGGGGAGGGGAAAAGTGAATCTACTTTTTAATCATGAATAAGGAAAGCCTTGGGTTTATGAATCTTTGATGTGTCGCCAAGGGAATGGGAAAAGCAATTCATGTCTCCTTTCTTCTAACATGGCCGACGGCTTGCACTTGGGAATTGCCAAGTTTCATTCAATTTTTCCCTCATTGGTTGCATGTAGTGGCAACCACTCATCAAATGCCACAACATTCATCACATGTTCATGGACTTGGGCTATGTTACACCACTAAAGGGGGTCCACGGTGTTGGCTTCAAAATGGGTTGAGATTGCTTTGCATTTTGGGCCAAGACCACACTATGTAATGGGTTCGGCCCACTTTGGCCTTTTGGTGTTAGATTTCCATTGAAATTAGTGAATGGGCCAAGTCTTATTCCTTTGCATGGTGGGTTCGGACCAAGGAGTCTCTTCGAGTTTAAATCACACTAAGTTGGGCTACTTATGTTTAAGTTTAATGTGGGCTTAGTCTAAGATCATACAACTTCAAGAGTCATGAGTTTGGGCCATTAAAGGCTATTAGTTGGTGTGGGTTCAACCCATTAAGTTTTTTGGGCTTCTAGATCATGTTCCATTGGCTACCTATGTTCTTAGTGGATTGGTGATACACCCTTGGTTTACCATGTTTTTAGGCTTAAATATGATTGATATGTGTTGTGAATTGCGTGGAAATTAGGGTTTTATACTGTAAAGTTACAGTTATTGAATATCTTGCTAACATGTTGTCGTAATACTGATTTACAAGGGTTTTTGACACATATTATGGCATTTTGGAACTAAAAGAAGACATCAAGTTGAGTTGAAGTCACAAGAAAGCAAGATTTCAAGTGTGTACCAGTTGAAGGAGGACGTTTTGGCGTCCATAAAGCACGTTTAAACGCACAAAAGGAAGAAAAACACCATTGCCCCTGGAGGAGAGCGTTTTGGCGCGCAAACAGCACGCCAAAACGCCTTTGAAGCCACAAAAACAATTCGAAGAGCATGTTTTCGCGTGCTACATCACGCCAAAACGTGCTAAGGCAGACAATAATCAGTTATTTGACAGCGAGAAGATTTACGAAAGAATTCCATGAAGATTTAAAAAAGATTTGTTCAGATACGATATGGAACTAAAACGGAAACAAATCAAGATGATTCCTGAGAAGATTGAAGCAAGACACAACGAAGATTTAAAACTCTAATTCATCAACCAAATCTTGTATGGATTCATTCGAAGATTAGATGATGGATACAACCCCAAAAAGCTATAAATAAAGAGCTTGGGGTCAAGACCAATTCACCAATTCACAATTCTAGAGCATTACACCAAGACTGAAGGAGGAATCCTGTTGCGGAGTGCTGGAACACTGAGAAACCAAGTCAACATCACACCAATGGAGGCTCGGGGTTCTCTTTTCTTTATTATTTCTTTTCTTTTCAGTATGCTAGAGTAGTTTTTTATGTAGTTAAGGGTAGATAGAACACAATTGAATCTTTATGTTTATGAATTAAATTGTCTCCGAATCCTGTTCTTTTTATAATTGAATAAATTATCTATTTTTAATGCTTTCTATGAGTTTGTTCCTTATAGAATGATTTTGGAGAATTGTATGACAATAGGGATGTTGGTGCATGAACCTTGACTTGATAATTTATCATAATCCTTGTGATCTAGGAATATGAATAGGAATAGACATAGGGTAATTATGCAATCTTGAAATTCTTGATCTTAATGCATGTTTTCTTGGGGAATAATCGGGGACTAGAGTTCTTTCAAGATCACATAGATTTAGGGTAATAAGGAATTGAGCTCTAATTAACTCAGATAGAATTGATTGACAATATATTAAGAAACAGATTCTTGGCTATTTAATTCATAACATATTGAGGATATTGGGGGAAGTCAAAACCTTAACTACGCTTTTTAAATCTTAATCAAACATCACCTCATTCATTCTTTTAATTCTGAATTTTCATATTGCATGCCTTTACTTGTTTTTAATTTTAAGTCTTGAACAACAATTCTCTTCATCTAAATTCACCATTCTCTCAAACCAAACCTTTGATTGTCCAACTAAAACGTTATTAGTGAAATAGTGCTTGAAATTCTGATCCTCGTGGGAACGATCTCGTACTCAGTACATTTTATTACTTTCACGATTGGTGCACTTCCGAGTCGCTATCAAGTTTTTGGCGCCATTGCCGGGGATCAAATTCTTCAACATTAGAAGTAACTAATTAACTTTTAGATTGGACGTTTTAATTTTCTGCACTTTTTACATTCTTCAAAAATATTTTTTCTACATTAAAATTATGCATCAATTTTCTGCATATTTATTTTTCTGCATTCTTTGTTTATTTTTTTATTTTTTTATTTTTTATTTTTTATTTTATTTTATTTTATTTTTTCTATTTTTCTGTTTTATCTTTTTTCTATTTTTCTGCTCATCTTTTCTTAAGTTTATGCGAGGTACTCTTAACCCGCAAATCTTATAGTTTGATCCTGAGATAGAAAAGACAGGGAGGAAACTTAGGAAAGGCGCAAAAGCAAAGAAAGCGAAAGAAACAAAAGCATCAACCTAAGGAGGAACCAATGGCAGGAAACAATCAAATCGTTCGAAGGACGTTAGGGGGATTACATGACCCCAGCTCGAGTTCCACAGACGGCAAGCATTGTTAGACCAAACGTAGAGGCTAACAACTTTGAACTGAAGCCGACGCTGCTGCAACTGATTCAAAAAGATCAGTTCGCTGGAGGAAGAACAGAGAACCCCTATAGTCATCTCGATAACTTCTTACTTTACTGTGATACATTAAAAGTAAATGGAGTTCCTCGTGATGCTATCTTGCTCAGGCTATTTCCATGCTCACTGAAGGATGAAGCAAGAGATTGGCTGCAGTCTCTACCTGAAGGAAGCATAACCAATTGGGATGACTTAGCAAGGAAATTCTTGGCTAGATTTTTCTCAGCTTCAAAAATGGCAAGACTCAAGTTGGAGATCACTGCTTTTGAACAAAAAGACAGCGAATCTTTGTACGAGGCTTGGGAATGATTTAAAGGATTACTCAGGAAGTGTCCTCAACACGGAATTGAAGCATGGGAGAAAGCAAGAATCTTTTTCCAAGGGATGACATCCAGCACAAGAACACTGGTGAATGCCGCTTCAGCAGGCTCATTGAAAACAAAAACTCATGAGGAAGCACTTGAACTGTTGGAATCATTAGCATCTCAAGAATTTGACAATGCTCCAGCCCCAGTTGCACCAAGAAGATCAGGAATCATGAAGCTTGAAGGCTATGATGCACTCTTAGCCCAGAATGAACAAATGCTACAAATGCACAAGAAACAACAAGAACAATTAGATGCCCTTAATAAGAAATTTAATATTTCTCAAGTTTCTTCTTTTTCTAATGCTAACATTAAATGTGATATTTGTCAGGAGGCTCATGCAACTGAGGATTGTGAATACATCAGAAACACAGAAAAGCAACCAGCGGAGGTCAATGCACTCTAGTATGATCAAAAGAACTCGAACAATCCAAGAAGGAATCAATATGGTAATCAAGGGTGGAAGAATAATAATCAACACCCTGGGTTGAGTTACAAGTCAAACTACCAGTTGAATCCTCCTATGCCATTGCAACAACAACCTCAAGGCACCACATCAGAGTGGGAGAAGGCTTTTGCACAGCTGTCCAAGACCACATCCGACTTCATTCAAAATGCAGATGCCTTCAGAGATGAAACAAGAGCTTCGTTTCGGAATCAAGAAGCTTCGATCCGAAACTTGGAGACTCAAATTGGTCAGCTGTCAAGACAGTTCACTGAAAGAACTCAGGGAACTTTTCCAAGCAACACAGTTGTCAATCCAAGGGAGCATTGCAATGGTATCACCACTATGAGTGGGACAATGATTCAACCTGTGGAAAAGCCACTAGTTGAAAAGAAGAAAGAAGCTGAACCTGAAGTTGAGAAAGAGAAAGAAGAAGATGCAGTAGAAGCTGAAAAATGCATTCCAGAGAAGAAGCTATTCAAATGGGAGAAAAAGAAAGCTCTGGACAGGCAACCAAAAGCGGCAGACCCGTCTCCATATGCAAAAGTTCCATACCCTCAGCGGTTGAAACAAGAGGTCCAGAAACAACAATACACCAAATTTCTGGACATATTCAGGAAATTGCAGATCAACATTCCTTTTGTCGAAGCTTTAGAGAACATGCCCAACTACGCAAGGTTCATGAAGGATCTATTATCAAGGAAGCGTAAGTTGCGGGAATGTGAGACAGTAAATCTGACGGAGGAATGTAATGCTATCAGCGAAAAGAAGTTACCTACCAAAGTCAAGGATCCAGGGAGCTTCAGCATTCCATGCACTATAGGCAAGATGGAAGTAGACAATGTTTAATGTGATCTTGGAGCTAGCATCAATGTCATGCCACTCTTCATGATGAAGAAGCTGGGGATAACCGAAGTGAAGCCCACAAAGACGATAGTGCAACTGGCTGACCGCTCTTCAAAGCAAGTTTATGGTATCATTGAGGACATATTGGTTAAGGTAGACAAATTCATCATTCCTGTCGATTTTATCATCCATGACATTGAAGAAGATACCACAATTCCTATGATTTTTGGAAGACCCTTCTTGGCAACTTCAGGAGCACTGATTGATGTGCTAAAAGGCGAGCTGATATTACGGGTAGACGGAGAGCAAGTAACTTTCAAGTTCTTTGACAAAGAAGTCCCCTCATCTATAGCTCAACCGGAAGATCAAGTCAACTACATTGGTGAAAAGAAAGGTTAAGAAGAACACAATGAGGAGTCTTCTCGAGAAAGTAAGCCAAAAGTTAAGATGGAGAAACCTAGTAGCGAAGGAAAGCATGTAAAAGTCAAGTTCAAAGTTCCTGAGACTACTTTACCTCATCCATATGCAGACGAGCACTACGGTAGGACACAATTTCTAAATGATGGAGCTTGGTCATCACCAAGATCATGCTTTGAACCACCGTGATCATAAGTCAGGTACGTTAGGCTCGTGACGTAAAACAAGCGCTAATGGGTAGGCAAACCCACACTTTACTGTTTTATTTTCATTGTTTTATTTATTTTTACTTTGAATAAAATAAAGAGAAAAATATAAAATTATAGGAGAAGGTGTTGAGACTAATGCCTACAATTAAGTGGATTTTACAGGTGAAGAAAAGGAAACAAACAACAAGAGAGCAATTAGTTGTTCTTATTTCTCGATGCAGATTCTTTTTAGATTTAAATATGTTGCTGAGGACAGCAACATTTAAATCTGGGAATGGGGAACGCGCGGTTCATCTGAGCACAATTGAGTAAGCCGGAGGAACTTCATGAGTACACATAGAATATTCGGCTAAAATAGGGAATTATCTCAAAACCTTTCTTCTTTGCTTTAGCTTATTTTTATTTTATTGAGAATTTTTAATTTTTGTGAAAAGTTGAAAGTATTACTTAGTGTTTTTAAATGGAAAAACGACGGGAATTTTTAATCAGTAATTGATTCAGAGCATGATGATGAACATACTTAAGCATTCATAATGAACATCAATGCAATGATTTTCATGATTCATTGAATATTCTCTTAAGTGATGAATAGGGAAATTACTGTGTATTCATAGCCGTGAGGTTTTGAGCCTATACAAAAAAAAAAAAAATTATTGAGTGTGCATCTCACTGTATGAAAGACTCTAGAACTTGCTTGGTTACTTGCTTGAATTGGTATGTGATATATTTTATAGATATAATTGAGGCATGTTCTTTCTTTAAACTAGATGGCCAAATAGCCAACCCTTGCTGATATTCCTTAGTTTAAACCCTTTGAGCCTAGGCCTGTTTATTCTTTGAAAACCCATGAAGATGATTAAGCCACTTTCCACATACTCTCCTCACCTTAATTGAGATTGAAATTTCAGATTAAATTGAGAAAAAGGTGCTAGTTGTTAATGATATAAATTGTGGAAGTACAGGGAAAAAGGCAAAAGTCAAGGAAGTAAGGTTGAGTAAAATGAGAAAGAAAGAAACAAAGAAAATGGAAGTTACTCAGAAAAAGAAAAAAAGTGAAAAGAAAAACAAAATTGTTCTGAGAAAAGAGAACGACAAACAAGAAAAAAAAAGTTCAAAAGAAAAAGAAAAAGAAAAAGAAAGGACTGAAGTAAGAAGAAAAAAAGTTGTTTACAAATGTAAACAAATGCATAAGTTCCTTTTCAAGAAAATCTGAATTTTAATCTTGCAACTCCTTCTCTAAATTTTCCTTCCTTTAGCCAAGCCAAGTTATAACCTAAGAAAGACCTCTTGATCTGTGAGATATGTCACAATACTATGGAGAATAAGAATATAATCAAGCCTATGGTAGTGTTGATTCAGTAGGGATTCGAGTGAAACACCAACCCTCTAAACAATTGACTGAGAGTGAATTAAAATCCTAGTGAGGGAGTGTTTCGGGAAATTTTCCTTATTCTTTATCTTAAGAAAGTTGTTGCAATTTTTACTGATGAATTATGAATTTTGTTGATTGATGCGTTAATTTTTAGAATCTGAATGCTCTGTAATCATGTCTCTGATTGAATAATTCCTCCCAAATTCCATGCTTTTGAGATTCCTACTTCCTAATCCCTTAAGTTTATTCTAGTGCATTACTGAGGACAACAATGTTCAAATCTAAGAATGGTTGATAAATCCTTGGTTTACCATGTTTTTAGGCTTAAATATGATTGATATGTGTTGTGAATTGCATGGAAATTAGGGTTTTATACTGTAAAGTTACAGTTATTGAGTATCTTGCTAACATGTTGTCGTAATACTGATTTAAAAGCGTTTTTGACACATATTATGGCATTTTGGAACTAAAAGAAGACATCAAGTTGAGTTGAAGTCACAAGAAAGCAGGATTTCAAGTGTGTACCAGTTGAAGGAGGACGTTTTGGCATCCATAAAGCACGTTTAAACGCACAAAAGGAAGAAAAACACCATTGCCCCTGGAGGAGAGCGTTTTGGCGCGCAAACAGCACGCCAAAACGCCCTTGAAGCCACAAAAACAATTCGATGAGCACGTTTTAGCGTGCTACATCATGCCAAAACGTGCTAAGGCAGACAAAATCAGTTATTTGACAGCGAGAAGATTTACCAAAGAATTTCATGAAGATTTAAAAAAGATTTGTTCAGATAGGATATGGAACTAAAACGGAAACAAATCAAGATGATTCCTGAGAAGATTGAAGCAAGATACAACGAAGATTTAAAACTCTAATTCATCAACCAAATCTCCAAGATTTTTAATGAAAAAGGAAACAAAGATGAAATCAAATACAAATCTTGTATGGATTCATTGGAAGATTAGATGATGGATACAACCCCAAAAAGCTATAAATAAAAGCTTGGGATCAAGACCAATTCACAATTCCAGAGCATTACACCAAAACTGAAGGAGGAATCCTGTTGCGGAGCGCTGGAACACTGAGAAACCAAGTCAACATCACACCAATGGAGGCTTGGGGTTCTATTTTCTTTATTATTTCTTTTCTTTTCAGTATGCTAGAGTAGTTTTTTATGTAGTTAAGGGTAGATGGAACCCAATTGAATCTTTATGTTTATGAATTAAATTGTCTTCGAATCCTGTTCTTTTTATAATTGAATAAATTATATGTTTTTAATGCTTTCTATGAGTTTGTTCCTTATAGAATGATTTTGGGGAATTGTATGACAATAGGGATGTTGATGCATGAACCTTGACTTGATAATTTATCATAATCCTTGTGATCTAGGAATTGGAATAGGAATAGACATAGGGTAATTATGCAATCTTGAAATTCTTGATCTTAACGCATGTTTTCTTGGGGAATAATCGGGGAACTAGAGTTCTTTCAAGATCACATAGATTTAGGGTAACAAGGAATTAAGCCCTAATTAACCCAGATAGAATTGATTGGCAATATATTAAGAAACGAATTCTTGGCTATTTAATTCATAACATATTGAGGATATTGGGGGAAGTCGAAACCTTAACTATGCTTTTTAAATCTTAATCAAACATAATCTCATTCATTCTTTTAATTCTGAATTTTCATATTGCATGCCTTTACTTGTTTTTAATTTTAAGTCTTGAACAACAATTCTCTTCATCTAAATTCACCATTCTCTCAAACCAAACCTTTGATTGTCCAACTAAAACGCAATTAGTGAACTAGTGCTTGAAATTCTGATCCTCGTGGGAACGATCTCGTACTCAGTACATTTTATTACTTTCACGATCGGTGCACTTGCCGAGTCGCTATCAGTTGGGCTTAGGATCATTTAACCATACTTAAATTGGGCTATTCACATATAACTATCATTAATTAATTTGGTCCACACAAGACTCATTAATGAATGTGGTTACATAATTTAGGGTTATTACATGCCCCAGGAAAAGAGGGAAGGTTGCAGCTATTCAGGCTATTCCTATTCAGGCTGTTCTGACTCCTATTACTACTGAGGAGCATCCAGTACCTTTAGTTACAAGAGTTTATGCAGTTATCCAACAGGACACAAAGAAGTCTCCAAATTTGATCAAAGGTACCATTTCCGTTGATGGCCATGATTTTGATGCATGGTTTGACTCAGTAGCCACCCACTCCTTTACTCTAAGTTTTGTTTCGAATGGTTTGAACTTTCCTATGTATGCATTTAAGCCTCCTATAGTAGTGAAGACTGTCACCGGAGATTTGGTTTCCACTACTATGATGTGTAAGGAAGTCAAGTTCAGTTATGAAGAGAAGGAGTATGTGGTTGATCTGATTGTGCTTGAGGGTATGAATCCGCACATCATTCTAGGCATGGATTGTCTAGTCAGACATGGAGTTATGATTGATTGTTGTAGCATGAAGATTTATTTCTCTGCTAAGAATGAGAAGAATGACTCCTCATATTTATCAGTGTTGCAGATGATTAAGGCTCTAAATACGGGAGATGCGAGATATATCATGTGAGGAGGATTGTTGATGTCTCTATGGAGCCAACTTCTAGTATCCCGATTATATATGACTTTAATGATGTATTTCCAGAAGAGATCCCATAGTTTCCACCAGAAAGGGAGATTGAATTCTCCATTGACCTAGTGCCTGGTGCGGGGCCTATCTCTTTGGCTCCATACCGGATGTCACCCGTGGAACTTGTAGAGTTGAAGAAACAAATTGAAGAATTATCTAGTAAGAAGTTCATTAGACCGAGTGTATCTCTTTGGGGTGCACCAGTTATCTTCGTGAAGAAGAAGGATGGGACTATGAGGTTGTGCACGAATTATCGGCAATTGAATTAGGTGACTGTGAAGAACATGTACCCTCCACCTCGCATTGATGATTTGTTGGATCAGATTAGAGGTGCTTTAATATTTTCAAAGATTGATCTCCGTTCTGGATATCACCATATTCGGGTAAAGACAAAGGATATTCCGAAGACAGCTTTCCGATCCAGATATGGGCAGTACGAGTATCTAGTGATCCCATTTGGGCTTACTAATGCCCCGACCGTGTTCATTAGTTATATGAACCGGATCTTCAAACCACATCTAGATCAGTTTGTAGTGGTATTTATTGATGATATTCTGATCTATTCCAAGAGTAAAGAAGAGCACGCAGAGCATTTGAAGATAGTCTTGCAAATTTTGAGAGAGCATCAGTTAGATGCCAAACCATCCAAGTGTGAGTTTTGGTTGCATGAGATCCGATTTCTTGGTCACGTCATTTCATCTGCAGGAGTGGCTGTTGATCCAAGTAAAATAGAAGCAATGTTGGATTGGGAGAGACCCAGAATGTTACTAAAGTCCAGAGTTTTCTAGGTTTAGCAAGATATTATAGGCGGTTTATCAATAGATTCTCAAGAATTGCCTTGCCAATGACTAGATTAACCCGAAAGAGGGTGCCATTTGCATGGACCCTTGGGTGTGATGTGAGCTTTCAAGAATTGAAGGATAAGTTGACTACCGCACCAGTTTTGATTCCTCCTAACCCGAAAGAGAGATTTGAGATCTATTGTGATGCATCCAAGTATGGATTAGGGTGTGTATTGATGTAGGAACGAAAGGTAATGACCTATGCTTCGAGACAGTTGAGACCCCTTGACGAGAACTACCCTACTCATGATCTTAAGTTAGCGTCTGTGGTTTTTGCCTTGAAGATATGGGGGTACTTTTTGTATGGTGCTATGTTAGGTCAAAAGCTGTTGGGTGAAAAATATATTATGATGAAAAAGTTCCCCAGTTCACTAAGAAAGAACACAGTTGCTCTCTTAGTTTCAACCCAAGTGCGCAAGTGCACGCATCAAGTAATAAATGGGACTGTTATTGCTCAAATTTTCATTCCCACGAGGATAAAACTCTAATTAAGGCCTTATACTATTTTACAACGAATGAAAATGAAAAGAAAAGTTAGTAATTGACCTATCTGGCCAAACGTTCCCTACTACCTTGACAACATTCCTCAAGGATAGTAGGTTCAATCTGACAGCAAACAGTTCATCGCTTCGTTATGTATGATGCCCTTCTTATTGAGAGAAGGAAAAGAAATATTCATGGGAGAGTTATAGATACAAGATCGAACAAATAATAAAAAAATAACAATAGTAATAACAGTAATTAAGAGACAACAGGATGGATGGTGTAAAATAATTTAACAGAAGGAATGGATCCACTGTTCCATTCTTAAATAATTATTCTTTCTACTCAAGACTTAACACTTTTGTCTTTGTTCCAGTCTCTTAACTGCCAACGTTTGATTCCTCAGCTTATGGGCTGGATGGCTCACAAGTTTCCATATTCCTATGGCTCCCTTGACTCCAACAGGTACTGGGTACAAGACCTTAAAATGAACGAGGTGGCCCTTTATTCCTAAGGCAACCAGCAGTGTTGTTTCCACAACACTACCTTCCCCCTCTGGTTAAGCTGTCTGAAATCCCTTCTTTATGGAAGTTCCTTTCTCAGTTTGTGTATCAATTTCCATTGATACACAAAGAATATAGCTCACTTAACCAGAGAAATCCAAAAGCTTAAATACAGAAGTTTCGAAAATAAGTCTTTAAGAACTTTGTAGTTTTTCCGTTGCACAGATAGTTTAGCCCATGGCTACTAATTTAAACATAATTATTCCAAACAGAAATCCCACAGATCCGAGATTCAGTTCAGAGATAACGAATGGAAATGAGAGAAATAACACTTGTATTTAAATGAAAATAACTTGATTACAATAAAATCAAAAGTGGAGAATATGGTTGTTGCTCGTGAGGAGTCTCAAGTAGGTGATACAGATGAAGAAGATGTGTTCTCACTTAACTAAAGTTAAAACTGTACAAAAATACAAAAAAAACTATAAACTAAACTAAGTGACCTCTTCTTAAGGAATTCGATGGTTGTCTTCGTGCTGGAACGTCCTATTTATAGGCAGAAGAGTGTAGGGAAAATAGGTAATTCTCTTGGAGTTATTTTCTTGACTGCATGGAAGGGGTGGTGTGAACAGTGCTTTGAGGGGCACAAGTGGCTGGATGGGACAGCTATTATTGAGATTTGTCTTTCCTTCTGATCGTCCCATGTCTTGCTTTCCTCCTTAGCCAATAGGAATCGTTTATTCTCTGCTGCGCACAATTCCTCTTTCTTGGTTGCTGCACCGCTTATGCTTTATGAAAACTTTTTTCCAACGTTTCCTGCACAGTGGTCAGAAATATTAAATGAGTGGAGCAGGTGTATTTAATGTTCCAAATCCGTTCCCCTTTTATATATTTTGCAAAGACTCATGTCACCATCCGTGCCCCACTGTGTTTTTGTCAAAAAGATATTAAACATATGCTTTTAGTGCTAAAGTTGCTCATCAGGTGAGGGAACAGATGGCATTTTGCCATCAAAATGGGCTTAGATGGGCACAAATTTTTGTCCCATCAAATACCCCAAAACTAAACTGTTGTTGTCGTCAAACAACTCAGAAATAGTGGCTTTAGGCTGCTCAATTTCAAAGAATAGCTCAACTTCAGAAACTTGAGCCAGTAAGTAATTATAAACTTTTCAAAGAATGAACTACTTTCCATAGGTTACAAGTAGAAAGAATTTGTTCCTAGGTAAGTGACGGTTGCTGATCTTTTATCTTACTATCTCTCAGGGCTTGGTGTTTCTCTGTCCATTCCTGGATATGATTCTTCAAACTTGCTTATCTGCTGCTTTCTTAAGAAGTGCAGGTGTCTTTCATTCCAAAGGACCTTTGTGAGAGGACGGATGGAAAGGTTTAAAAATGGAATGGTCACAGGTCTTGGGCCAGGGAACATTTTTCAGTTTTTGTGTTTTAGAGCTGGACTTTTCTGTTGGAGGGAACACCTTGTCTTTTGTACCTTCTTTCCTTCCTTTGGAGGAAGCTTTTCTGGTATTTTCTTATGAATTCTTTTGAATGGTTGTTCCCATTTTTCTTTATTTTCTTTTCTTCTTGTCCTTTTTCTCTTTTTGGATTTGTTCCTCGTCCCATTTTGTTGTCCATGGGACGAGTGTGTATGTGGGCTTGTACTATGGGATGAATGCAAATGGAAGTGTTTGTTTGTTTGTGGAAGGGTAAGTGTTTGAGGGTTGATCTTTGTTAGTGAAATTCACCTGTTCTTCAGCAGTACTGACAACATTAAGGCAAGTTAGAAGTTTCATTGTGGTGTCACCTTAGGAACGCTCTCATGAGTAAGTGTTTGGCATTTTTCGTTCCTCACCAGCATTAGTTCACACAGATCAGTTTCCTTCAAAAATCTGAAGATTAAATTCATTTCACCCTTTCTATCTGAAGCATTCAGTGTAAGAATAAGAATAATTACTCATTGACTTTGTGTTTCATGCCATTGGTTATAAATGAGGTGTATAAAAAAGATTTTTCATTTCAAAAAGAAATTAAAATTTTACACTACGGAACATAAAAGGAAACAAAAGGGAAATAACAGAAAAACAATAAAAACGAAATAAGCAAAATAGGAGGGTATTTCTCCTTTTCAATAGGGACCTCTCTTGCCCAGTTCAGAATTCTTTTTAGCATCCATTTCCTCTTGCGTGGGTGGTCTCCTGCTGAGCTGTTCTCTTAATCTTCTTGCTTCTGCTCCAGGGAGCCACTTCTCAGCATCCTTTAGTAGATCACTGATCACAGCAGCGAGGTGCACAATGGTTGATCTCATCAGTATCCTGCCATTGTGGATGTGCACGATCTGCCCTTCAACATCCAGCAATCGATGTTCCAGCTAAGTGATTCTCCCCTCAAGATATGTACCAAAAGCTTTGAGAGCTTCATTGGTTTCTTTTCGTTCTTCAGAGTTTTGGAGGTAGAGTTTTCTAAGTTGTTTCTCATCTCTGGTGTTGTGTATGGCATGAGCAAACTGCAGGAACTCAGATGCTCTTTTTATTTCATCCATGACAACTTGGAGGGCAGGTGCAGAAGGTGCAGCACTGATACTTTTGATGCTGTCTCTTATGGTTCTGAGAAGGTGCTCTCTCTCTCTCTTCTGTTGTTCCTGGAAGGTGGTGAAGGCAGAAGGGAGTGAGTTCAGTCCGTTCCTTAGAGCCTTTAGCTCTTCATCAGTGCTGGCCATGTCTAGCTGAGGAACGGATGGTGCTTCGGGTAGCAGCTTCTCCATCTTCTTCCCATTCATTTCAAAGATTTCAGCAATCCCTATCTGAGATTTTCTCCTTGATCCAATGGGGATTGCTGGAATGGGGGAAGATGGTTTCGTCTTCTTCTGGTTCTTGTTGCTGCCAAAAGTTGGAGGTTCTTCAGGTGCTTGCCTGACAGCAACCTCCTGTACTTTTGAGGAAGAGGGGGTTGTTGTAGCTGGTTCCTCCATCAGTAGAGGAACTTCCAAGCCCTCCTCTTCTGCCAGAGACCTAGCAATGGCCTCGTCCCCAGAAGTGTCGGGACGGATGATAGGGCAAGAGAGGGGTCCACTCAGGCTGAGTTGCTTGGGCACAATTGGCTTTTTCTTTTTCTTA